TCTTCGGAACTAGGTGTCCAGACATCAATTTCCTTCGGTATTTATGGGGCCTCCAGTCGATCCGGGTAGGTTTACTAACTAGACCAATAGGCAAGAGCAAGCGTGACAATGAAAGGTATGAAAACGCAGAGGACTGGCCGCTACAATGATCGAGGCCACAAATGCCATACACGGCAGTCTTTCAATGGCCAATAGGATTAAAGCTGAAAGGTAGCTAGCGCGGCGTCGTGGTGCCGGCGGATAACAGGCGACAGGCTAAGGATCTAGCATGACTAATTCAAAATCAGAAAACCGTGGCTACAACTGCACACCGCTCCCCTCCTCTATAAAAGTACTGCTGTCCTCAGCGAATTACGTCTTCTCTTTTTGGCTGATGCTATCTGGTGGCATGTCCTGGGGTCCTCCAAATGTTGCAGCCTGTAACTGGCATACCTCGGGTTCGTCTCCACCTTCGGGTGGAGTTTCCACGATCCTTGCAGCCTGATCGCGATCCACATCATGTACTGTGTTACCTTGATCTAATTCTGGAGTGCATTCGGAAGGTCGGCCCCCCAGCTTGAGTCGATTAAAATGAACAGTGAATTTCACTGTAAAAGGTCGGTCGCGATCCCGAATGGCACACGTAGTATCGGAGAGCACTTTCGTTACGATATAGGGTCCAGACCGGTCCAGAATCAGCTTACTCGGTTGGTTTTGCGGAACCGCATGTTCTCTGAGACACACGACATCACCGAGCACATATGGGCACCCGTGGGCCAGTCTGTCATAAAGATCCTTCTTTAGTCAACCATGACTAAAATGTATCGGTCGTCTCGAGTTGATGGACCTAAAGGTCCAAATGTGTCTACCCCAACGCGTTCATTCGCGTATCCTGTCAAAATTGGCTGAAGAGGGTCCCTGTTTAATTGTCGTGGTGGTTTACGCTGGTTGCACAGGGTGCAGTACCGAAAGAAATTTCATGCTGGACGTTTCAGATCAGGCCAGTAGTATCTTCGCCTAAGAGCCCAGTCGGTCTTAGGGATTCTAATGTGCCCTAATTGGGTATGCATTCTAGTGAGAACGTCATCCGCCATGGATAGTGGTAGAACAATACGCCGAGGATACTATTCGGCATCTCGGTAGAACAAAACCCCATTGTCCATGAACAATTTGTCCCACACCGTGTGGAGACAGGGCGTCTCATAGCTAACTCCCCTGAGTCCGGGTGCACTCAACGGTCGCGAATCGTCCAACTTCTCATGGTAGATTGGGCCAATATGAGAATCCTCCTGATGGGCTTGAGCCCAAAACCGACTCTAGCTGTCTTTAAGTGACACGGTACTGATTTCTAGGTCCGTGCATGACGGACATTCGCCACGGGGGCGATATGGCTTCCTCGAGAGGGCATCGGCGTTGTTATGCGGGTGACCTGCACGGTATAGGCAGTCACATCTTGCAACCTAGCTCTCAGAATTCTTAAAATTTAAAAGCCAAGCCAAGGAATTGTGACCAGTTCGAATAAAGAATTTGCTGTACTGTAGAAGTGGTCGACATTCTTCAACAAAGAAGGTAAGAACAAGCACCTCTTACTTTGTCGCACAGTACCTTCTTTCGACCTTGCTAGGTGATCAGCTCAAATACGCGTTCGGCGCCGTCTGTCTGTCGTTGCGATAGAACCACGCCAATCGCACATTCACTGGCATCAGTGTCTATTACGAATATCCCGGCCAGCTCGCTAGTGTCAGGGAAAGCGAGGATAGGGCTGGAATAGAGGCCATCTTTTAAAGCTTGAAAACTTGCTGCACACTACGGAGTCCGCTTAAATCTCACTGCCTTTTGTGTGAGCTTGTTTAAGGGTGCGGCTGTATGGGCAAAGTCCTCAATGAACTTCCTGCAGTATACAGAGAGGCCCGTAACACTTCTAACATCCAACACGCTAGTTGGCGTTAGCCAGTCCTGAACTCCCCTAGCCCTATCTGCATCCGTTTCGATCTGGATGCAACATACCCTAAGAACTTAACCTTATCTCGCAGGAATACGCATTTTGCAGGCTTAACGAGAAACCCCGCCGGCCTTAGGCTGTCGAATACTACTCGTAGATTATGCAAATGGTCTCCAAAATTTTTCTCCGGTACGATGGTGTCATCGAGGTACAGCGAGCAGGCCTTCGGTATGAACTGCGCGAGGACTTGGTTCATAAGTGGTTGGAAGGTACTTTGCGAATTGGCCAAACCAAAGGGTATGATTTCAAACTCGTATAATCCAGAGGGTACTAAGAAGGCCGTTTTCCCACGGTCGAGTGGAGAATGCCCGATTATCCGAAAGGGCATTTAGGGTTGCATCAATACGAGGTAATGGGAAGGAAAGCGACAAATACGATGCAGGTGCTGAACTTCAACAGCAACCACCCAATCAGCCAAAAACGCAGTTGTGTAAGGACGCTCTATCGGCGTGTCAAAACGCACTGCAGTGAGCCGGAAGACAAGATTGCTGAACTACAATACCTTCGACGTGTCATCAAAACCAATGGCTACCCGCGCAACTTCGTCGACCGGTGCATACGCAAAAGGAACGAAAGGCAAAACCGCACGGACCCCAAATTTTGGCGAGCGTTTACGTATGTGAAGAACGTTTCAGAAGCTGTTGGCCGCCTTCTCGCGCCACTTGGGATTGGAGTTGCATGCAGATTGGAGGCAGCCATCAGGCCCCTGAATCCACTAAGCATGGCAACTTAACATTTCCTGTAGATGCGTTTATAGCAGGGCAGTAGGGCATAGAATCTATATTTGCAATAAGCATTTCGGACAAAATGATGCACTTGCCAGTATTCTCTCTCTCACCTGCGGTGGTCGTATGAACACTGGGGGCGGGTCTGACGACCACGCTGTTGCCGCCAGTTCGCGCGCCGAGGGAGAGACTGTGGAGGGCCCCATTGCCACCTGGCCGTTTGGGTCCCGACATCACAGGTTTGTCGTTGTCCCGTGGAGCCGATATCTACCGAAGAGCCCCGTGGAGTGGCAGGTGTTGGGCAAAGTCCGAATGGCACCGATGGAGGCTGTGGTTCCAGCGGACACGCCTTCTGGATGGCCTCTTCGCGGAGGGCGATGTCGAGGGCCACCTTGATACTGTTGGGCGGATCTCGGATGAACTGGCGTCGGGTCTCTGGAAGTGCGATGCCATCCACAAAGTTCTCCAGTGTCCTGACCTCCAGCTCAGCGAAGGAGTTGCTGGGAAACGCCTGCCGGGCCAGGACACGTAGGTGTCGTAGGAAGTCGACGATCGATTCCCCAGCGAGCTGTCGGCGCTCCCTTAGGGCTGCACGAGCAACCCAGGGCATCGAAGGGGGACCGAAACCTCGTCGCGGACGCTGGAAAATCGTTGCGGGGGTGAGCGAGGCAGTGAGGTTGGTTGCGCTGGCAACGGCATAAACTTCGTTATCGAGGCGGCCCGAGATGGCGGCTGATCGTTCCTCCTCGTCAATGGCCTCCTGATGGATCTTCATACGATCCTCGCAGGGATCATAATCATCGTACGCCGTCAGCCTGTCTGGCTTGCGTTGACGACCCCCAGGCGTCGACATCCTCTCCAGAGCCTTTACGAGCCGTTCTAACATCTCATCGGCCATGCTATATCCCACCGCAGCCACCAATTTGTAAGCGGCCTAACCGTGCTAAGTGTCGAAATCCTCCTATTTGACTCCCAATAAAAAAACAAGGCAGTGGCCTAGAGGGAAGATTAGGGATTATTTAGGAAGACGGTTGGAGTTCAAACAGGATAGGGAACACAGGGAGACCTTTGGCAGGGACTGATTGGCCTGGAGACGGCACTTGGTTGATCCGGCAAGCGAGAACGGCGATGACGTGCGGAAGGCGTCTGTGGGGGGCGTTCTTCGGTCCAAGGTGTCCAGACATCAATTGTCTCCGGTACTTATGGGGCCTCCAGTCGATGTGGGTAGATTTAATGACTAGACCGATAGGCAAGATTAAGCGTGACAATGAAAGGTAGGAAAACGCAGAGGATTAGCCACTGGGGTGATCGAGGCCGCAAACTGCCGTATACGGCAGTCCTCGAATGGCCAATAGAATTAAAGTCGAAAGGTGGCTAGCGCGGCGCCGGCGGATAACCGGCAACGCGCAAGGGGGTCTAGCATGACTAAGCCAAGATCGGACGAACTGTGGCTGCAAGCATGAGCCACTGGGACGCCACCCCTCGGCAAATGCAGCACACACACACACCCCAATTGGGGGTCACCTGAGTTTGGCCACTGCCACCACTGTCTTACGGACTTTTCGGGCATGGCCGAACGCAGAGAACACCAACCCTGGTTTCGCCAGCGGCCACTGCTGCCTGAGAGAACGACTCATGGTTCTGTGTATGATAAACCCCTCTGACTTTTCCTACAACACGAGATTTGGTCTGATGATCGTAGCGCCTAGGGTACTATCAGTGCTTGGCTACCACAATGTCAACTTCCGGAAAGTCGTTGCCAAAGAAAAGATCGAAGTGGTCGTGTTTGGATTCTGAAAAGGGCCTAGCATATTACATTCAAACGAGGCCGAAAAACCTGGTATACGAAGCAAGTTTTCCACACCTCGGTGCGAATGGGATCCAACTGTGCCCCGCACCCCGTGTTCATACTTACAGCGCGTTCGAAGCGAACGTGTTCTATCTAAAGTTTCAATCCACATGGTAAATATCCGGGCGTGTACTTCTGGGTCTGACGTTAAGCGCCGAAATTCAGGATCATTCCCAATCGAGCAGATCCGACTGAGCAGCTTACGTCCTAACCTGGATAAAATGCAGTTAGTGGGTGGTGGCAAACAGTCCGGGGGCGACCCCAGCGCCAATAACGTTCCTTGGCCACTCGATGGGAGGATAGGTCGCTATACGTCACTCCCATGCAGCCGAGTATTTCCCGATCACAGCCAGTATGGCGCGGGCTCGCGCCTTAATGTCGCCGCCCAGAGGTCAAGTGACTCTCGTTCAGGCCTCTGACATAGTCTACGATAGAATTCGTGGACGACAGTAAACAACCCAGAGCTATTTCAGCGCCCCCTGTTTTAGGTGAAACCCCACTTGGGGCAACTTCCGTGGTTCCTTTTCTCACCGCACACACATGCGTTTTAGCGAGAGAATCGGCAACGATCGGGTGGAAGCCCCCCAAGCACACACACGACCAGCCAAAGGTGCCCGTCTTACGAACACAAATGCAACCGCCGGCGAATCTCGTGTGGCCTGGGGGGCTCCGCGACGCACGCAACTGTGAGACCTGGAAAGGGATGCTACCCAGAATTCCGCCAAGATATCCGCAGACTCGAGGTCTCAGAAACCCGGATGCTCTCGAGCAGGAGCGAACCAAACGGCAAACTAGTCACTACAGGCCATGTAAAAAAAAACTAGAGGGCCCAGCCCCAACACCCGTCTTCCAAACATAGACCAAGCCTTGGGTGTTGCTCAGCGGAGCTCCCGATCCAGCGATGGGCACTGTGGTGGCTCCGAAGTATGCAAGAGCGCCTTCATACGTAAACACGAGATCCGGGAAACAGACATATTGTGGCTGAGAAAGTCCTTTTAACTGACGGAAACAGGGACACCGGGACGGACACGCCTGTTTTACTTGCTGTCGTTAGCCACTAATACCTCGAGTCCCGACTACACAGTCGAGATTCGAACCCCGAGTCGGTGGACCATCGGTCAACGCCCTCACCACTGCTCGCCTCTAATTATGATATTTTAATTTCACTTCTGTACAAGCCCAATCTGAACTGACTGACCGTTTCACTCTGCCGGTAGTTTGAAGTGGACATTCTTTTCTGGGGATAATAACCAAGGAAAAACTTGCCAGAAATGAGGTCAAGGCTCTCAGAGCCGCAGATTATCTTCAGGTTGGTACCAATTCCGGATTCATTTCCTCTGTGGTCACAAGGCGAAAGTTCCAATTGCACTGATAAGTCGCGACCTCAAACAGTTAGCGACAGGCGAAAGCATGGATTAATGTAAAGAGTCCTAAAATACTGAAATTTGCTCGTAATATTAGCTGTTGATCCCTTGTGGCCGGTTCGAGCCGCGACCGCATATCGGACATTCAGAATGAAGTTAAATTGGTAGACTCGCGAGGCAAGTTTAAGTTTAGAGGCTGTCTAGATTCATTCTGATAAAAAGTCAACATAATTAATGTTAACCAGATAATTTATTTGAAAAAGCGCACGAAAAATTTCCAAAATTAGGGAGTGAGGCGCTTCGGGTCACGAGGGAACATGGAAGTCTTCCTGATGTTGTCCAAGCCGAGGAACAACATTGCGACGCGTTCCAGACCTAGAAAAAGGGAAAAGTGGACAAATGTCACGGCAAAACAACAAACGGTATAAAATCTAAGCTTAAAGGTTCAGGTGGAGCGCAGAAGTAGAGACCGACAACGAGTAGACGTAAGGCACCTGTAATACAAAAGGCCGCATAAACTAGACCCCAATCGGACGGACGTGTTGGCGTGCATAAGTGCCCACCCAACTTCTGAATAGTTTCAAGAAATGAGCGAAGCACCCCCTCCCTAAATCTATGCAATCACTCCATAGGGAGGTTCGAGCCCATATAGCGATGGAATCCATAGGACTGTCACAGACGCGAACGAACACTGATTTGATCTTTTATTTCTTCTATCAACTCACTGGGTGGGTGAGAAGTGTGTCTCAGCAATCAATCTAACTTACTAGATTGTCTTAATGGGCAGAAAAACAACATACCAATGCCACCGCCGGCGTGGGGAGGACAGCCATATCGGAAGGAGTCTATGTAGGACTTGATTGTGGAGATGTCTAAAAAGCCAAATAGTAATGATACAGAAGATGGTTTGAGAAAAATGCACTCAAAAGCAGTCCGTCTTGAGGACCTTGGACGAAACGTCTAAAAGGGAATACTGAGTAATAGTTACAGGCTCACTGCTCGCGGCTTATCAGCGGAAATTGCCCCAAAAAGAGGCATGCGTGTACTTATGTTGGTAGTAGCCACAGAGGCGTACAACTAACAACTGTGGAATACGTACTAAACTGAGAAGCTGCGCCAAAAAGAGTACTTGGTAGTGATAATCGGTAAGTCAACTATAGCACTACCATGAGCACGGTCCGTAAAGAGCAATATTAGCATTCAGGGTATTCACTTCACCTGCAACGCATATCAAACACACTCAGACCGTTCCTATGATATCTGATTTATCGCATGACCATTTGACAGCCGGAAATCCTGATATTTCTGCTGCTTTCGTCAAAAAGGTCGGGGAAGTAGTACTCTGTAATCAAATCGTAAGTAACCTAAACACATATAAAACAGTTCTTATCTTTTTTCAGTCGACACTATCATAAAACGGCACTTCAATACGGTCAAACAATTTGCTGGTCGGATTATTGATGACGTTGCCCATTCCTTGCCTCCTGATCTTATTTCTGCGAAGTCTTCCCGCCCGATGCGCCACAACTTCCGACTTATGTCACGTCGCACATCGGCTTTTCGAGCTTCTGTATTACCATTCCTGGCGCGCTATCTTACGTGCGAAGAGATAGAAATACAGAAGTTAAGACTTGAACTATCCTCATAATAATCGTTTTTTTGTGCTAAACTTCGACTCTTGAATAATCTATTAACTTATTTACTGCCCACAGTGAATGGAGCCAATTTTTTTGCTGAAAATTTTGAATTTATGATTTCAAAATAAAGCGACTTCCTCTCTCTCTCTGTTCTGGTAGAATATAAAAACAAAACTTGTAGACATACAATGCACGCTAGTTCACAACAGACCAGTTGGGATTTATGCATACCTATATTGTGGGCCTTGGCACGTTCGGTGAGGAACTCAGGTTCATGGATTCGTTGTGCACCAGACATTATTTCCTCTCCTCGCATGAAGAAGTCGTAGGAGTTAGAGTAACTCTAAATCAGAACACAAAGGACAATGTTTCAAGAAAGGCTAGACATCTTCGTGACCTCTGCTAGTTGGAAAGTTGGTGTGCGAGAGCGTCCAAAAAATAGAGTGCCACCCTTTCAAGGTGATCACAGTTACAAGATCCAGGTGGGCTGCGAGGCGGTAGCCTTCGGCTAAAACGGAACCCATAAAGTGACCACTACGGCTAGGCCACTTTATTGGATAAGTTGCGAATCCGACCCTCCCCTCAACACCAGGTGGACAAAGATCATGATGCTAAGTTTCTGAAGCCCAGACCAATACAGTTGTTGGCTCCCAAACAGAAAATAAGGACTTTGGAGAGCTCGACGACACGACTTGCACTGCTGCAATGACTTATTGCCAATTAGTTCCTCGATGGTTGAGTAGGCGGCAAATTTTGTTTCCACCGAAAATAGGGCTGATAACTGTACATCCTCCAGGAATGCTTGTGCCAACTGATCCAGTCAACATCAAGATGCCGGTTCGTTGCATCACGAATGACTGTCCCCACTGAAGTCGGTCGACGACGAAATCTCGAGTTAATATGGGTCAGGAGGCTCGCAGACAAGAGGGTCGGACAGACGAGCTCGAAGTCCAATTCTACCACAACCACTCAAGCCCTCAACCAGCCATATCGACGCCGTCGTCAACCGCGCCGGTATTAGGTGAAATGACCTCTCATACGAGTTTAC